GGTGGTCCTTCAAGTATCCAGGGCCCAAGCTGTTTAGGGCTTTATAGGTCAAAACAAGCACTTTGAATTGGGCCCGGGCAGCAACTGGTAGCCAGTGTAACCTGGCTAGAATTGGCTGAATATGTTCTCTTGTGGCTCTCCCACTCAACAGTCATGCAGCTTAATTCTGAACCAGCTGTAGTCACTGGATCATCTTAAAGTAAAGCACACTGCAGTAGTCTAAACAGGTTGTTACCAGTGCATGTGTGACTGTCATGAGGCTCCATTCGTCCAGGTAGGGCCACAGCTGGAAGGGTTTCCACAGTTACAGGAAGGCACCCCTGGACACCGAGTCCAACTGGACCTCTTGGGGTCCAGGAGCACCCCAAGATTCCAGACCCTGTCCCTCAGGGGGAGTGCAATCCCATTCAGGGAAGGGAAATGGCCCTTTAAACTGTCCAACGAACCACCCACTAATAGTACCTCCATCTTGTCTGGATTAAGCTTCAATTTATTAACCCTCAACCTGTCCATTATCAGGTCCAGACACAAGTTCAGTTTAGATGCTGCCTCACCTAGATTGGTGGGAAAAGAGAGGTAGAGCTGAGTGTCGTCAACATACTGCTGACTCCTCAGCCCAAACCTCCTGATGCCTTTTTTCTAAGTGGAATTCAAGGTGTTTTACAGCAAGCTGTACTCAAAACCAGGCTGGATAAAAATCAATGATTTTTTAAATCAAATCGATTTCAATCATGATTTAAATTTTAAAGAATGACTTTTTGATTTAAATCATCAAAAATCTATTGTTTTAAAATAATGATTTAATGTGTTATTTAAATCATATTGATTTAAATTGAATCCACACTGTTCATAATACTCTTTCAAAGCAGCTTATAATAACAAAAAAGGAAGAGTATTTAAATCAAATTAATACCATAGTTAATATGAATAATATAATGGAAGCAGTAAGATGGAAAAATAGCAGCAACTTTCTCTTAACACACTTAAGGCTTCATCCTAATGATTTTTTTAATCAAACTCCGAAAAGCTGAGTAGAACTGAGAATGCTACACCTACTTTGGATGGAGATGAGTAGGCAACTTGTAGTTGTAGAAACATTGCTGATCTGAAACTCCATGGGCCAAGCCAGCATAGTCAAGAGTGGGAATGGACTGGAGATGCAGTTCAACATTAGGGTGGCTGCAGTTTTTCTACCTTGTTTTACAGAACTGGTACCCTACATAAAATATCTGAATTTTGATCCAACTTCCCCTCCTGGAGCCCCTGAAAATCTGGTGCCTGAACTCAGTTGATGTTTACAGTTGAGTGATTATTGAAATTGTGGTCAGTAATAAATCTTCTGTAACCCAAACCATATTGTCTGAGGATGTCAAAAGACATTTGTCTTAGACTGTACTGAGGAGCTTTGTGTGTCTGGATCCATTATCTGAAGCTACTTGTTCATCTTGCATGTTATCTGGACCGCAGGCACTGATATGATAAAAAAAATACACAGGCATATACACTGAGTTCTTGTTCCCTAAAACCCTGCCTAGTATGAGTAAACTAGTGAGGTTAACTTTGGCAAGAGAGTCACAATTATGAACTGAAGAGTACAATTTGCTCCCACTTACTAACTCTAGCTTCAACAAGGTTATGATTTATTTTTAAATATGTGCCTTTGGTCAGATAATTCAAATAAGAACAGGTGAGTTTTTGAAGCAAGTATTTGCTACAAATAGCAAGGAAGGTGTACAAGCAATCCCACAAGTAAACAAGACCACAATAGAAATACATTTGTATCAGACATCAAGAGTCATTTCAGGGTGAGAGAAGGATAAATGAAGTAACAAGATGGTTTTCTGCACTGAATCAAACACATGTTCAGCCTCACAGGCACCACTGCATTTTTTAAAAAAAATTGACCAACCGACTGACCAGCCTATAAGAAACTATTGAAAGTTACACAAAAATTAAAAAAATACCCACAGAAAACTAAAGAAACATAATACCAATGTGATCTCTATTCAACACACTGGCACTAACAATGTGTCCCCTTCAGCTTCTGAGCAGTAGACAGCAGTAATTAGTCTATATGGGGTAGACCCAAGACTAAGACAAAGCTGATTCCCCTCCAATTCCATGGATAAAAGTCAACTAAATTGCTGTATTATTCTTTCATTGAGCAAGAGATTGGACTCAGTGGCCTTACAGGCCCTTCCTAGCTCCATTATTCTATGATTCTTCAACACTACTGATGGGGTATTTCCCTCTACAGTTGAAATTTTCAACTGTTTATTTTTATTTTATTTTTTGCCTTGGGCCTCTTAGTACCATTTCTCAGGTTCCAGGCCCCCCTGTCAACCAAGGACACAACCTGAACAGATACCTTTCAGAAATTTCTCACATTTTTTCAGTCTGTGGTCCCCTTCAAACGTGACAGGCCTCCCCAGGGGTCCATAGGGCCCCCATTGGGAATGGCTGCTCCACAGGACCTGAAGAAAGCAAGACTGCAAAAAGAGTGAGTTAAAGAGCATGTGGCACTCTGCTGTCTCTCCTCTAATACTTTGCTGCTATCTTCTAATAACTGCAGCCTGAAGCAACTGCTTCATTCAGACTAACAAAGGGGCCAACCATCAGGTTTGGAGCAGAAAGCTTAAAGGTACTTTTTCATCTTCCTGTGGTCAGATGAGCATGTTATACCCTGGCAGCTGAAGCTAATGGTGTGGCTGCCTCAATGCTAGGCAGCAGATGAATGGCAGACTGTAGTATTCAGTGCCACCAGGCCTTGCTGCTCCTGACATCCAGGCACATTTGCCCACGAGCCTCATCCTGCGCTTGGATAATGTATAGTGGCTTCACTCATCTGATCTGCTTACCCAACTGCTGGGATGCTGGGAGGAGATTACACAGTTTGAGACTACAGATACAGGCCTCTTTGCAACCCTAGCACCCGTACATAGATGCCAGGTACACCAAGAGGCCATTATTTATACATTCCCATGCATAAACTGCCATATTTGAATACAACCTATGTAACCGCCTTTCAGCTGCTAGAATTCAGAATAATCTGATTATTTGGGGGCAAATTAATCTCAGCACCAAAGAGGCAAAACAGTTGGGAACTGAACAACTGTTGTGGATTTTAACTAACCACACTAGCCCGTGGCCTAAGCAGAATCAGAAAGATGGTTTACAATGTAGGGAAACAAATTTTACTATTATAGCAATCTATGTATGAGAATCCATACATAGAATCATGATCATCTATACCCAACAGAAGTTGCATTGAACTGCGTGCATCTGAAGTGAGGCATTTAAATTTAATTGATCTCCTAATGATTATACAGTGGAGCCCAGAAACAAAGTCCAACAGGCACATTAATGTGTACAATACATATACAACAACATTTTGTCATTTAGCAATGGAAATCCACAAGAGCAACAAAATGTGGAAACAGAACCAGTTATCCCATTTAAATGAAAAGGGCAGTACTTCCAAAAAGGGTAACTCAATGATGCATCAAAACACAGTTTCCCATAAGAACCTTCTGTCATGTTAGGATATATACCTGGATGTATTCACTAACATTTTTCTGATTCCATGACTGACTTCTTTTTTAAGTAGACAGAACAGGCACAGGGATGAAGATCATGGAAAGGTTTCCAAAGGGTTTCAAATGAGGAAGACAAAAGGAACCAAATGAAACTTGAGATTCTCACAGTTTTTCCCTGCTGTTCTGAAGTGCTGGACTACAAATCCCACGAACCTACCAGCTGTGGTGAATCGGGACAGTTTGCACTGTAGCCCAACACAGCTGGAAAGTACTCAACGCAATAAATCCCATGCCAAAGGAAATCCTGCATTCGCAGTAGTAATACACCAAATTTTTTACAAAGTCCAGTTTTCCGTACTAAAACCTGTCTCTCAAAAGATGTGGGTGATGGAATTAAACCTGAATTCAGTATTTCAGTATGACAACTTTTATCCATTGTCAGATGCATATTTGCTACACTTTTTTCCATGGCAATGATGGTGTACGGCCCCTTACTTCAAAGGAATACATAGGATGAAGAAATCTAGCATACTGTGCCCATTTAAATCAAAACATAGCTTACATTTCTCTATTTCTTAAAACCCAAATGCCTTCTGATGACAAATCAATTTGCACTATTTCTAGTACAATAAAAGTAAATTCATGAATGAGGGGTGACATTTAAAATAATCATAACAATAATGAAAAAACAACCTGACATAATATGTCTTGCCAAGAAAACTTTCCACCATAATTAGCATTTTTTCTGGTTTGGGGGTGGTGCTACAACCCAGAGCAACCTCAAGGCAGAAGGCACAAACAGTATAAATAACTCAGGATGATGCTTGGGATAACAGCCTCTCCTCTGCTCACCTGTGGCAGAGGAACACAAGAGCCAAGACTGCCGTCTGCTCTGCTACACATTTGTAATCCTACAACCTGCTGGTATGCTGCAATTCCATCTGGCCTGGCTTCCTGATATATTTAAATAGGACACAGGTTTTCGGATGCTTATTAACGGGGCTTGAGGGTATTCTGGTTACAGGAAACTGCAGAAGGATTGCTTGTTGCATATGCATGGGTCTTTAAAGACTACTGCCTCTGAAACAGGAGGACCCAGATCTTCCTTTTGGAAACTTTAATTGGCATGTGTAAGCATAAAATATTAGGCACCCAGCAGCTTGACGATTTTTCTCCTTCGCCCACTGCCATATACTGCAGTGAGGTATAGCGATGGAATAAAAAGTCCTAGATTTTTAATGGCTACCATGGCCTCTGATTATACTTCTAAAGAAAGATTAAGTATTTAAAGATATATATTTTTAATCCATTAGTCTGGAAAAGGGTAGAAGGATAAGACTGTATGTGAAATATATATATATTAATTGCAACATGTGCAACTAGAAAATCCCATATACTCAGCTCTGAATTAAATATACAAATATACACCCATTTTCTTCTCTTCAATAGAGTGGATTTAAGAAAATGAAGTTACAAATATCTACTGTGCTGATGCTGCTTTCCATGGCCTTTGTCCATGGCAGCGAAGGTTTTTATCCTGAACGGTATCAGAAGCAACCCAGCGTACCAATGAAGGGACCACATTTCCTACCTTTCGGCATAAAAAGTCATGGTAAGTAGCATTTCTCTCTTTCTTTTAAATATGGGCAGCCTATAGCTTTGTTGGGTATATTTGCTATGTACAACCGAAGGTAGACTACTTAGTAGTCTTATATCTGCCAGTTGGAGACTCAGATGGGTTTTGTGCACTGCTAAACTACAGAACTTCTTTTAAGGTATTAACGTATTAACTGAAACTGTAGTAATCACTAGAATAAGAACAAGGAAGAGGGCAAGGGCACCTGGTTTTTAACATAGCCAAGAACTGTTCCACATAACAGAAAGAATGCTTACCAGAATCCTCCCAAAATCATGGCATGTCAAGGAACACATGGAGTGTTCCTTACTTGTACGCTTGCTTTTTGAGAATTTTCCAGCTTAACACACAGATGATCGCAATGTCAGGATACACTAGCTTTCTATGAGAAAGGAGGTGTATTTTGAAAATCTACCCATCTGCATTTTGGTTCATCCCAGAGAGACTGGACTATTTTTTTGGCGGTTGTTTTCCCCTCTCTGAATATACAGATCAGTTTATATTAACAGGCAAACACTGATGCACTGAAGCAGCCACAGGTACTTTTAAGAAAAAAGAAGTAGGAAATCTAAGACATATAATCTGAAATGGGGAGAGATGATTTTTGTCAACATAGTACTTAGACATCTTGCAGCAAAAGGGAAATTTAGGAATATTCCTCCCTTCCTGATTTCCATGGCACAGATCACTAGCAAATAAAAGGAAATAAACTGCCTCAATCATGTGAGCCATTGTCCTAATAAATGGATGTTCATTTATGGATTGATTTAGATTTCTGTCCCATTCAATTCAAGGGGCCATGGCTTATGAATGTTTAAAATATGATGTTACAAGAAATTCAGACTGTCAAGACTTTATCTGAAAACTAAAATTGGAGTTAGGAGTATGAAATGTTTTTATTTGAACTTTTTACACAAATATCGTGCCTTGCATCCTAAAATCTGTATGCTCAATTTCGAGAACATCTTTTAAAAATCACTTTGGGTGATCTTTCATCCTCTTGCTCAAAAATGTCTGACTTATATTTTCAAAGAAAGAGTGCCTTAATGCAGAACTTAGTTAGATTTTCATATGCTGAACCCAATTGTTCAAATACATTTTAAAGCAATCTAATATTCAAACCAATGCTTTGTGGAAAAGGAATTGTTTTCCTTCTGCAGGAATGCAGATCTACAAGGAATAATTCTGTAAACTGTGGTGTAGGACAGAAAGATAAGTTCAACTAGTCTCTTCCTTAAAGTACAAATCTTATGATTCTTTGCAGTATACAGTGAGACATAAATAGATATAAAGGCTATCTATATATGTATATGTATATAAGCAAATGCAGCTACGTTGTTCTTTAAAACCACAAGTCTTGTTTATTTGGCTCAAGACTTATACTAGGCTGAATACAACATAATCCAATACTGATTTAATTCAGTGATATAATTCAGAATGAAGAGTACTGCAGAAGCCTATATTGTATACAAGAGTACAAAGGAGTGAGAGCTCTAAGTCCATAGGTTTTACAGAAGTAGAATGCCTCTTCATTCCCATCCCAGCTTGTAAACTGCCATTTGGATGTTGTTTATGGCTACTTCACACATTACTTTCATATTTCCTTCTTAGACTAAGTCACTATTTTTTTTAGCAAATGTTGCTCATACCTTAGTGCAGTGATGGCGAGTCTTTTTTAGCTCGAGTGCCCAAACTGCTAAACAAAATCAACTTATTTATTTCAAAGTGCCAACACTGCAATTAAAACCCGAATACTGAGGTTTTAGTTCAGAAAAAACAACTGCTCATGTACCGAAAGGGTTAAATGTTTGCGCTTTTTTTCCAATGGGCGGTATTAACAAAGAAATACTTACCGATTCTCCAGTCCCCCATTGGGCTAGACCGGTAATGGTCGCCATTGCACCCCTCTGCTGGACCACTGCACCAGCAGAGGGAGTGCCAAAATCCAGGATCAGAGGACGGGTAAGTATTTCTCAATGGTGACTTTTGGCTCGGGTGCCCACAGAGAGAGCTCTATGTGCCAACTGTGGCACACGTGCCATAGGTTCGCCATCGCTGCCTTAGTGTCTCAATGACAAGATGTGTGTCTATTCTGAAGTCCCTATGTGCACTGGGAAGTAGGTGTATAATCTCTGTGTTAGAAATGTATGCCTGGAGCTCACATTACTCATGGGAGCTGTTACAACACTGCTTTCCGCTACACCACTAAGAGCACTAGATCTGGAGCCCAGAGAAGCACTTGTTCAGGCCATGGTTTCTCTCACTGCAGTAGCAACCTTGGGGGAATGAAATTCAAAGTGGCTTGTAGTTCGCTGTCTGGGTTTCTCGCCTGGTGGCAGTGACAAAGTCAAATATTTGTTCTCTACTACCTGAGAGGGCAGAATAGGACAAAGTGGCAAGAATGCAGACTTTGGTTGTTGCGGGCTTTTCGGGCTCTTTGGCCGTGTTCTGAAGGTTGTTCTTCCTAACGTTTCACCAGTCTCTGTGGCCAGCATCTTCGGAAGACAGCACTCGGTGCTCAGAGCACAGAGTGCTGTCCTCTGAAGATGCCAGCCACAGAGGCTGGCGAAACATTAGGAAGAACAACCTTCAGAACACGGCCAAAGAGCCTGAAAAACCCACAACAACCATTAGATCCGGGCTGTGAAAGCCTTCGTGAATACAATGCAGACATTGCTTGAATAGTAGCATTAACATTGGCTGAGGGTGCTCTAGCTCTACATATCCTATACGGGCCATGAAAGCCTTCGCGAATACAATGCAGACTTTGCTTGAATAGTAGCATTAACATCGGCTGAGGATGCTCTAGCTCTACATATCCTATACTAAGTCTTGAGGTGGACTGCATGACCTAAAAGGCCACTCCCGAATGTAGACGTTCATGATACAGACAAAAGGGTCAGTACTCCTCTAGTTTGTATCCTGAAATAATGCAGGAACCTAGCTTACATTGCAAAGTACTCCATACCAACAAATGCATACTTTACAATTAGTGATATTTGCTTACTAATAGTCAGGTATATCACAATAATAATAAAGTTTGTCTTGCTTTAAAATATAGTTATGAGATCATACTATAATGGCTCAAGAAATTGCCATAGGCATCCTCTGTTGCATGCCGTGTCACAGTTTTAATTGCAATCTGCCTCCAAAAGTATACTATTTGCATAACTGCACAACAGGATTTCAGTCATTCTCATATAAAGCAACAAAGTGATGGTAAAAGACTCCATCTTATTTGTTTTCAGCTCAACAGTCCAAATTTATTGAAACACGTTACACTGTTTACTTTGTGCTGTACTAGTCACACTATCCCTAAATGTATGCTTGCAATCTAAACAACTATGTCATTAATAGCCAAATAATATTTCTGCATAAAGCATGAGAACTGACAAAAGTTAGATTCTTGTAAAGGAAAGGTTTAAGAACAAAATAAACAAACAAACAAAGAATATAACCAAGGATCCTTGGATTGCAAGCCTAGTTATGACTATTGCCAATTCGAGAGTTTTAGCTACATGCTTAGATTGTTCAAAGTCACTGAGGTTGCCCCCAGCACTACCAAAAAAGAATGAATTGAAACTGCCAGAAATTATAATCCTGTTTTTGTTCCCATTATCACTTTTGCCAGTACTATTGATAGCAATATAAGTATCTCTAAATTTGTCTAGGTTTACTGAATCTCTAGACTCTCAAGGCAGAGATGAGTAAGGTGCAACCTGGCAGATGTTGTTAGATTACTACTTCCCTCCTCCCTTGTCATAATCTATGCTGGCTAGGCTATTGAGAGTTGTAGTCACAAAAACAACAGGTGAGCTACACACTTCCTGCTCCTACTGTAAGACAAAGGCTGGAAGCTAGTTGAAGGACTTCCTCACCTGAGTGATGAGTCTTTACAGCATTCAGTGGCCTTCCAGCATCTTCACAAGCTATGAGTTACACTTACCACATAAAATAAATTACAAATAATTGATGAATGTATTCTGTTACCATTAACACCCAAAGAAAGCTCAAAAGGGTCTGGCAATCTCATGCTAAAAAAGAAATTGATGTGGGCTAACCTCTGGCCCATTTTTATTCATCATCTTACTCAGCAAAATCCCCGTTTCTCAGTTGCTAAAAGAAATGGATTCAGCAAGATAAATGACAGTTGAAAGCCCTTCAGCTACCAGTGCCTTTTTCATTCTCAGTGTGACAACAAGTCAACTATCTTCAAGCTTTTCTAAAATGCCAACTGTCCAGGTACAGGTTGTCTGTCTGCAGTTCCTAACAGTTTAAACCTGACTGCCTCACCATTACAGTGAGTGTAATTTGTAGCCAGGGTCTTAGTTTGAATAATTTTAAAAATGAAATGTGTATTCTAGAGAAAAAAAAGCTCTTACCTTCCCTTTGCTGCTATATGTAATGCACCAATTCAAAGTGCATTTTTGAGAACGGCATTACAGAAATCCAAGTCGATCTTAGACAATCTGAGTTTTCTGAGATGTTTAGTTTCTCTCAAACGCCCCCCAAAGGGTGAAAGAAGAAGTATCAAATGTATATTTCTGGCTTAATGGCACCTCCCACATGTTTCAACGATCCTCACTTTGCTGGAGAGAACTATTTACAGGCGGTTTGGCTTTCTACTCACAAAACCCAAACAGCCTCTGTGAGGCTCATTCTTGCTAATGCAACAATTTGAATTTCAGCTTCATCACCACAGTATATGAAATTTCATTTTGGGGAGTGGAGGTATACTTACTATTTCCCCTGTATTCCCCCCACCCCATTTTAGTAATATCCAAGCTTGCATCTCTGTTGTATTTTTTTTTAACAAGTTAAGTTTGTACTATTTTCTTCAGTTTGCATCTCTGGCTCATAATGAGCAACAGAACAGAACAGGTATGGTGACATGGAAGTTCTAGTTTGATTTCTGAGCATTCATGATAATTAAGATAACTGAGGATTATTACAAACGTAGAAAAATTTTCCCTTAAATAAAACAGCACATAGTTTAATAAGTACCTCCAGTATTCCTAGTTAGAGCACGTTTTGTGCTCCTCCACTCCACATCTGTTCCGAAGTCAGAAATGAAGAGAACAGCTAAATAGCTCAGTGGCTTAGGTTTCTGGCTGAGGAGCCAGAGGTTGGGAGTTCAATTCCCCACTGTGCCTCACTGAGGGGCACTGGACTTGATGATCCACAGGGTCCCTTCCAGCTCCGCAGTTCAAAGGGTATTAGTATTATTAAACTGACAGATAGTCATATCTCAGACCAGCTCCATGCAAAGTTCATTAAAGGCAAGTTTCTATATTACATTTTGCAGACACAGGACAAAAACGTACTTAACTCCTGATCTCCACTAGTGTCTTACTGAATTCTTGTTTCATGAACATTTGGTTTTCATGAAAAAACTGGTCTTCACAAGGTATGTTCAGATGAAGAGTGGCAGATGTTTCCACATGCAGTGAGAAAGACCCTTTCTGTTTACAGCACATACCCAAAGCATGACAATGGTTAAATTGTCTTTCCTGAAACCTAATGACCAAAGCTTCTGAAGGTTGTCCATATGAGCACAATGCTTTCTTCAATGAACACACTAATATGTGTTAGGGGAGTGCAACATGATACTCTTGAAGTTATGCTTTTCCAAATAAATAATGCACAAATGAGAAAATAATCATTTTTTTAAAAAAAAACTTGACGATTTTATCAGACAAAGTGCAAAGAAACAAAACAAAAAGACAAAAACATGTGGCACCTTAAAAGACTATAATATTTTAATTTGATCTTTTGTGGACAAGTCCATATGGAAACAAAAAGAAGAAAAAGTACAACCTGACAATTTGGCAAACTTGTGTTAGGAAAAGGCACTGTTCCCACCACCACCACTCTTTCCAAACTCAGATTTAGAACTCCTATGGGTGCTGGCAAGAAGACTATTCAGAGAAGTTATCTAGATTGACCCTATTCAAAAAAGAACATCTTGATTACTCATTAAAATATTTTAAACTTTGAACTCAGGTCCACGTGCCAAACTTGGCAGTTGTGCACAAAGAAGCATGTGTGGTGATTTAAATCAGTGGCCACCTGAGAAGGTACAATGTTCAAGATGTTGACTTAGAACCTTCATCAGCCCTGGTCAACAAGGCCAGTTGTAATGGACTATGGAAATGTAGTCCAATGCCATCTGGAGGACCAAACGTTCCTTATTCCTGGATTAAATTATGAAAAATGTGGCACTCAAAAGATTAGTCTTTCTTTCAATTTTTGCTTTAAAAACTAAACTTAACAAAAATTAAAATTGTGTCTCTGTAAATTTTATAATCCAAGACCCTACAAAATTCTCCATGTTCTCTTTCTTTTTTTTTTAAAGATAAAGGTGTATCTGGTCCATTAAGGCTCCTTGACTTTCTATTATTAATGTATGATTGAATGGCTCCATCTGTTGGATGATGCAACATCATGCAGGAGCCCAAGGACAGATGCTTAAACATAAAATAATACCACTCCAGTTCAAAGGGGAGATAGAAATAATCCTACTACTGTAAACTGATCTCTGATTTGTTTTCTTTACCAGTAATAAAATAAATTATTTCTTCAAAATTCAATCAAAATATAAGGAATGTTCAGCTTACTCCTAGGCAATTTCCACTGAGTTCATTCTCTAAAAGAGTTCATTCCTGAGTAAAGAGCTTCTCTATATTACTTATTCTATTCCAAACTAGCTAGGATTGCCAGCCTTTAATCTGACACTCTACAGAGATCCTATTCTAGTCACTCACTTAAGAGACTGGAAACTACTCTCTTTGGACTACAGTGCCCAGAATCCCATGTGGTATATGTGTAGAAGTCGTCGACTACTACTTGAGCTTCACATTGGCCCTGTTACTATGGCACCAAGAGGTTTCCAGGACATGCCTTCCCCACAGGAGTAAAATTTATGAGAGGTCCTAAGAAAAATGGACTCAGATCCTTAAAAATTTTCCCTTTTGTATTCATATTGCCTTACAGAGAGAGGTTCACAGGCATTCAAAGAATATATGGCTGATAATGACTGAGATTGTATCATGCAAACAGAAGACACAGTATTTAATGCGACTTAATGATTTACTGTGTCCTTGGGGGATTTTGCTGCTTATGAAAAACAGGGACAAATTCCAGTCATAATACATGTTCTGTGTAGCATGGGGCAGTGCTTCGAAAATACAAATTGTCCATACAAATCCTGAGCAGGTGGCAGCCCTAAGGGCTATCAATGTTTGCCAAAACCAAACATTTAAAAGCTTAATTCCACACACAATGAAGCCAAAGGGGTGCTTTCAGTTTCTTTTCATGGGGTTTTAATTAAGTTTACATTATATGGCTTTTTCACCAGCAGACTTTTTTTGTTTTTATCTTTTCAAGGTTGAAATACCAAAACTGTACACACCAAATGTAAAGCTGTTTATGGGTAGATGAGTGCATGGGGTGGAGTGGGGGTTGATACTCATTTATTTCAAAATGAATTTTACTGAAATGCAAGGAAACTCCCACTTTATTTTGAGAAGAAAATTCTAACATAATTATTTATTGTAATAATAATTTAATAATAATTATTATTAAATGATAATTATAGTGCAATAATTATTATTTATTAATTATTGTAATTTACTACAAACTTTCCCTCAGTGACTGACTGCCTAAGAGAGATTTATACACATAACTGCTTTGAATATGTTTTTAGTATTGCTTTTATTTATCATTTCTCAGAATATTTGTTTCTTCTCTTTTAATATTTGTATACTCATTGCTTTTAGCTTTAAATAGTGTCTTTTAATGATGTAAGCCGCCTTGGGTCCTGTTTAAGGAGAAAGATGGGGTAAAAATATTCTAAATAAAAAATATGTCACATTTTTCAAAGACATGATTCAAAAAGTTTGAAACACTGACCTCTTTCACCTTGCCATTCCTGAACCACTTAAATCCTGCAACGTACTAACGGCCATGTTTTTTTTTTTTGTTTTTAGTTGTACAGGAAAGGGGAGAACAAGGACTTCCTGGCCCGCAAGGCCCTCCTGGCCCGAGAGGACTACCAGGCCCAGCAGGTGCTCCAGGAAAACCCGGGTACGGAAACCAAGGCCCTCCAGGACCACAAGGGCCCCCAGGACTTTCGGGTGTTGGAAAACCCGGCCTTCCAGGTCCACAAGGAAAGCCAGGAGAAAGAGGACTTCCTGGTGAAAAGGGAGATATGGGACCCGCTGGCCTTCCTGGCCCAAGAGGTCTCCCTGGGGCCGCCGGAATTCCTGGTCCTGCCGGGATTTCTGTTCCTGGTAAAGAAGGACTGCCAGGGCCACAAGGGCCAAGGGGTGCCCCAGGAGAAAAAGGTGAGCCTGGCATACCTGGTGTAAATGGACAGAAGGGAGAAACTGGATTTGGGGTTCCCGGTCGCCCAGGAGAGAAAGGTCTGCCAGGGCCACAGGGACCTGCTGGGCCACAGGGACCTGCAGGGGTAGGGAGGCCTGGGGAAAGGGGTTTTCCAGGTCAGCCAGGTATTAAAGGGGACCGGGGCTTGCCTGGCATCTCAGGAGCAATGGGATCCCCTGGTGCCCAAGGACCTCCTGGAGAGCCAGGGCAACCGGGCATTGGAAAACCTGGGCCAAGTGGAACACCAGGATTGCCAGGAATTCCTGGAGCAAAAGGACTCCCAGGGACCCCTGGCTTGACTGGGCCTCCTGGTCTCCCTGGATTTGGAAAACCTGGACTGCCTGGGATGAAGGGAGACAGAGGAGCTGAAGGCCTCCCAGGTATCCCAGGAGCAAAGGGAGAGCAAGGCCCGGCTGGAGCCCCAGGGGAACCGGGATCAGTTGGTGCACCGGGGAGCATGGGGCCTCAAGGGGCCAGGGGTGCCGCTGGTGAAAATGGCATACCAGGTCTCAAAGGCGATAGGGGGCTTCCAGGTGCAGCTGGCTTCCCAGGGACAAAAGGAGAGAGAGGCCTTCCAGGATCAGATGGGAAGCCAGGGTTTTCAGGGGAACCAGGACTTCCTGGCCCAAAGGGGCTGCCAGGTTTGCCAGGTCCCAAAGGAGACACAGGCCACGCTGGACCAGCAGGCCTACCTGGACCAATGGGTTCCCCGGGACCTAAAGGAACGGCAGGAGTCAATGGGGAGCCAGGTCCAAGAGGTCCACCTGGAATACCTGGCACAAAAGGACCAATTGGCACTCCAGGTATTCCAGGGGTCCCTGGCAGCAAAGGGGAAATGGGTGCACCTGGATTACCAGGTCCAGCTGGTATTGCTACAAAGGGTTTAGATGGGCCTATGGGACCTGCTGGACCTCCAGGCCCCAAAGGCCACTCTGGAGAGCCTGGATTGCCAGGTCCTCCCGGTCCACCTGGACCTCCTGGGGAGATGGTGCCACAAGGGCAGGCTATAGCAGGCCTCCCTGTTATGAAGGCTGGTGCAATCCAAGGCCTGACTGGTATGCCAGTGTCAGCCTTCACTGCCATTCTTTCCAAAGCATACCCTCCATCAGCGGCCCCTATCCGGTTTGATAACGTTTTGTACAATAGGCAGCAGCACTATGACCCTAGGTCAGGCATCTTCACTTGCAGGATACCAGGACTTTACTACTTTGCTTACCATGTTCATGTGAAAGGAAATCATGTTTGGGTTGGTTTGTACAAGAATGGCTCACCCATCATGTACACATTTGATGAATATAAGAAAGGATACCTTGATCAGGCGTCTGGGAGCGCTGTTATCGATCTGACAGAGAATGACCAAGTTTGGGTACAGCTACCCAACAATGAATCAAATGGTCTGTTCTCTTCAGAATATGTTCACTCCTCCTTCTCAGGTTTCTTATTTGCACAGATTTAATGACATTTCATACCTCCCCCAAGAACTAAGCATCTTAGTATGTTTTTTTATTATATATATTTCTAGACATCCACTACCAACTAGTGACTGAACACTGAATTAAAATTCTGAGGCAAATGCTGCATGATGCATATCTCTTAGGTGCTATTTTTAAAAGACAAAGGGGAATATAATTATTCACAAAGTATAATCACTTTTTAATGCAGCAGTCAGACATGAATTTTACTTACCCCCAAACCAAGATAACAGTAGTAATTACAAGTGCCAAGATTAAGTCTTAGAAAAAGGTATAATTACTGTATCTTGCATAAACCTTCTCATTCACCTATATATAGAAAAGAAGTGCTTAACACTGCCTTCCTATCCTTGAATAATCTGATTAACACCACTGATACCTATTCCAGATTATATGGATTTTAATTTAACATAACCTATTTATTTGCTTTCAAAAATTATTTCAACACAGCCATGAGGAATTGAAATTGAAAGAAAATATATAAAAAGTTCTTCATTTTGAAATTAATGAGCTAATTTACATAAGAAATGTAATAAGTTCACAAACAATTTTAATATAACTGTAAATGAATACTATTGATCTAATATGAAATTACTATAATTATCCATCATGAATGCTTATCTTTTTTCATCAAGTAATTAGGAAACAATGCTTTGAGATACATGGTGTTACAAACAAACTATAATATTCCAAATGAAATTATCCTCATATTGTTAGGTTATGTCAATATTCTGCACTAAAAATCTGTTCAAGTACTATCTTCTATAGACACAATTTTGAGTGATCATTTTATTCATCCTCACAAAATATTCTGTGTAGTTAATTACTCATTAACAGAAAATGGTTTTGTTATGAACAATATGCATCAACTACAAATTAGGAAAATGTGTACTGTCTGATTTTGTTCATTTTATACTATGGTGCTTGTATAAATTATTCATTCATTGTAACAATATGAAACCAGTTATTGGGGTGGAGAGTAAATATTGCATTGTTCTTGACTGCATAATATTCTTTGTGAAACCACCAAAAAAAGTTTATCCAAAGCATCATTTTAAACTTTGTTCTAAAATGTCTAGTTTTTCAAACAAATGTTCTTCAAGTATGGTTTAATATATATTATTATTAAATAAAAAAGGAAATACACCTTTGACTTTGGTTGCCTTTATTTAGTTGGTTTTTAGAACTTTTAAAAATATGTGTGTGTGCAAATTTATTGGTATTTTCTCACAAGATGGGGCTTCTGAAGGCTTGTTCATGACCCAAACACATGAAAACAACTGTTTTTCACTTTCAAATTTTTTATGTTAAAAGAGCCAATAGCAACATTTACCCATAAGTGGGTGAAGCCGCAACACAAAACTCTGAATATTGTTGTATTTCATTTTCACATTATGTTGTGAATATGCTGGAAAATTCTGAAAAGCAGTGCAAACAGAAGTACATGCAGACCTAAAATCCACAGAACTAGCTGAGAGCAAGGGCTAGCCCCTCTTTCCGCTTGCAGTCCATATAAAACTAGCATTGTTGTCATATGCTACAATTCCCACAAGGAGGATTTTTCTGCTTACAGATTTCCTATATACTGAATGCTATGAAATGTCTCTCTTGCAATATGACACAATGTCATGATGAACAGAGTATTGCTATCTCCAATCCAATCCAAACCTGATCAGCTGTTACCTGAGACCTGTAATTTTAAATGTGTAGCCCAGGACACACTACATGCAGAAGTTACAATCATACATTGGGTGTTTCCACTTCTCTACTTCTGTCACACACTCTGCTACTGGCCCTGGACAAGCTTATTCTGGAAGTAGACAATCAGAGGCAAACAGGAACTTTTAATCTTCTCTTTGTTGCCAACATACAAAGCAAAGGTAGGAACCAGATATTTACATGGAGAAACACACAGCCAGGGAAGTGCATGCTTAACCAACTCCTGCTGATCAGTTTTCCTCAGCCCTTTTTCTCAGCTGGATTCCAAAACTGGCTTACCCAATTAAGGAAGAAAAAGTGGCAAGCAAAAGAAGGGTTAAGTAGCCTTTTGTTCTTTCCTACAGTATTTCTTGCAACCACCCCCCCCGCCCTTTATTTGCTTCGCAGGTTTTCTATTTTCTGACAGGATGTTTATGTAGAAAGGAGGCTTTGGAATCCAATGTTTGGTGGTTAAAATCTTTACTCTTAGACCCAAGCCATCTTCCAAATTTAAGACACACACCCCACCAACCCAACCTCATCTAAGGGCATGATCACACGATGGAACTCTTCTGAGCGATGTTATGAAGTTTTAAAGAAAACCATTATATGGCAGAGAGGTCACTCACCTTTAAAAGCTGAAGTTTTATAATTATACTGTATGGCAGCGACCATATCTTTCCAAAACTCACACTTTTTCCCAGGACTGTGCTATAAAGATAAAAAAGAAATACTATAACCCTTCTCATTATAAGTGTCCCTAAATGTTGGAAGAATAAGCAATGTGAATTACATAAACTACTGCTCAAAGGTAAGACGTGCAACGTAATGTTGCAAGGAGAGTGTTCCTATTTACAATTCCAACCAGCCACTCGTGCCCCTTTACAGGATATTTAATTGCATTACCTTTCCTGCTTTTTCTTTCTCTCTTCCACTCCCCTCCCCCCCAAAAAAAAACCCAGTCAGGAAATATTCCCTGCTAAGTCAGAATATTCAGTCATCACTGAAATGTTTGAGAACATTTCTCCCCTTTGGAGTTTTGCAGTAGCTATTATACACTGACCAGTTACAATATTAAAACCATTGACAAGTAAAGTGAATAGCATTGATTATATTGTTACAATGGTACATGTCAAGGGGTGGGATATATTAGGCAGCAAGTGAACAGTCAGTTCTTGAATTTCATGTGTTGGAAGCAGAAAATATGGCCAAGTGAAAAATATCTGGTTGACTTTGACAAGGGCAAAACAGTGATGGTTGTAGATCAGTGGACCCCAACCTTGGGTCTCCAGATGTTCTTGGACTACAACTCCCAGAAACCTTCACCACCACCTCTGCTGGCCAAGATTTCTGGGAGTTGAAGTTCAAGAACATCTGGAGGCCCAAGATTGGGGACCACTGCTGTAGATGACTGGGTCAGAGCATCTCCAAAACAGCAAATCTTGTGAGGTGTTCCCAGTATGCAGTGGTGAGTACCACCCAAAAGTGGTGCAAAGAAGGACAACTGGTAAACCAACATCAGGGTCACAGGTACCCAAGGCTCGTCAATGCACATGGAGAGTGAAGGCTAGCCTGTCTGGTCTGATCGCACAGAAGAACTACTGTAGCTCAAACTGCTGAAAAATGTTGGCCATGATAAAACACACACTGCATCGCAGTTTGCTGCATACGGGCTACAAACAACATCTACAGAATATATTGTACGTAACACCAAATCCAATCCATGGAGGCCCCATCTCGCAACCTGCATGAAGTCAGTGTAATTTCTGCTAACCCTCCAGCTTGTGTGTGAATGATGCCATATTGGCAACAAAATGCTAACCCTCTAGAGAATGAGTTTGCTGTTGGTATATGTAAGATAAAGAGACAGCACTGGGTGATAGAGGGAACTGTATACTTTGGACTACAGACATGATATACCACTCTTTAAAAGTTAAAGAAAAAGCCTCTTGAAAGGGGGAAAAACCCACATCCAGCAAATCAAAAGATGATTTTCGCCTAACACTTCATTTGCTTTGCTGGCTTTTCCCCTTGCAGAAAGATTGCTTATGTAAAAGATCTTTAAAAATGCAGCTGGCTCTCAGTATTTTACCACCTCATTCACTGTGCGTGTAGGCCAGGCTTGAGAACTAGCAATATACAAGATTTCAAAAAGAGGCAGTACTCACCTTAAGGATTAACTTTCAAGATATATCTTATTTCCCTATTTGCTGACAGCTCAGCATGAAGAAAAATACAATTACTGATTCTGAGATTCTGAAACTAATATATATCATTGCACATCACCAATTGTATCCCTGTTATTGAATTAAATAAACTGAAACATGTTGCCACAAAAATCTGTAATATAAATTAATTATCTGTCTGTTCGCAGCCGAGTTGTCCTGGTAAATATTGTTCACAGTGATGTATATTAAAGAATATTGAAGGAACTGGCTGAAGAACTCTCAAAACCACTGTCTATTATTCACCTGAAATGGAGGATGGATGAAGTACTAGATGAATGAAGGAGGGTTAACACTGTACCTGTCTTCAAAACAGAGGAACTTGGGAACTGCAGATCAATCAGTCCAACATCAATTCCAAGATAAATTCTGGATTGATTAAACTGGATTGATTAGGCTGCCTTAAACAGAACTATAGTCTCCAAAACCTATGAAGTACTAGTTCCCCTCTATTAAGCACTGGTTAGGCCTAATCTACAGAACTCTGTCCAGTTCTGGAGAATGCGCTTTAAGAAGGAGGCAGACAAACTGGGTCAAATTCAGAGGGCAACAAGGATGATCAGGGGACCAGAAACCAAGCACTGTGAAGAAAGACTGAAAGAACTAGGCATGCTTAGCTTCGAAAAAACTGATGAGAGATGAGATAACACCATTCAAATATTTGAAAGAGGGGCAGGATCTGTTCTCAATCTTTCCAGAGTGCAGGACACATAATAATGAGCTCAAGCCAAATTTTGGGTGAATATCAGGAAAAAGAACATCCTGTTAGAGCAGTACAATAATGGAACCAATTGCCTCAGAAGGTAATGCACTACAACACTGAGAAAATTAGACAACCGTCTGTCAGATCTGCCTTGATTTGGATTCCTCCATTGAGCAGGGGGTTGGACTTGATGGCCTTATAAGCCCCTTCCAACTTAATTTTTCTATGATTCTGATTCTATGTGCCTAATGTGATCACAGATTTTAAAAGGTCTGGTTCTCAATATGAAGAAAACAAAATTTGCATGCTGAAGCCAAGAAATACAAAAGGTATTCCAAATACAATGATATATTTACAAATTTGGAACCCTAAGTCTATAGCATTTGCTCCTAGCACCAGGAACTATTCCAGCTTCGAGCTGCAGTGCCTCTCTCCATATCACCACCCTCCCCCATAACAAGTATATGAATTCCATTTCAGTGACTCTTATGATTACAACAGGGTAGTATTTTTAGTGCTGTACCACTGACGTATAAAATTCTACTGCCAAAATGAAGTTCATTCCATTGCAAAATAGTTAAGAAAGCTATTGCATAGTACATGAGCAGGGTGAGGAGCAGAGCAAGCAACAGGAGAGTTCTAAATAATTGGTCCTCTCATCGAGAAGTAAATTAGGTTCACTTACTTTGTTCAAGCCATCTATAATCCGTGCACAAAGAAGTGCTGCTGGCAGATCAAAATAATTGTCGTAGGCATAATATTTAGCTGCAAAGAAAAAGAAAAGAACTGAAGAACATATTAGGCATTTTCTTTGGAATCCACTGGTTTCCCCTAATTACAAGAAAACATGGCCTTTAGGAGTTCTTATTGCATTTTTATCTACAGTCTAATCTATTTATGATAAACTATTTTCTCTCAAGGATTTCACTGATAACCACAACCTTATCAATAAAATATGTTTATCCTTGTATTCGCGAAGGCTTTCACGGCCGGGATCTAATGGTTGTTGTGGGTTTTTCGGGCTTCTTGGCCGTGTTCTGACAGTGGTTCTTCCTAACGTTTCGTCAGTCTCTGTGGCCGGCATCTTCAGAGGACAGCAAACTGTGCTCTGGGTAGGCTTGAGAGTGGGTGGAGTATTTATGGCTGTGAGAAGGCTAGTTTGTGAGATAGGCTATTGTCCTGATCAGGAGATGGTTGATTAGTGTGTTTTGTTGTGGCTGTATTGTTTTGATAAGGAGGGGAGATTATCTGTCCCTGTGGTTGATGGGTGTCATTAGCTGTTTTTGTGTGTGCAGTAACCTTGACCTTGTGGCTGGGTGGAGTTCCTTGACCTTTTGCACTCTGTGTTTTTGAGAGCTGGGAGGGGACAATAATTTTAACTACGGTGCTACAGCCAGGTAGGCCCTGGCCCATATTTTTATGTGGTGTACTGCTCCCCACAGAAGGATAGAGAGAAAATGTCCACTGACACCCCCACCTGCAGATCTTGTTAATGGGCAAGTATATATCTTATAATTGTTATACTATATCTTATAAATATTTTTTTCTTTTTTTGTCCATGCAGATTACTGAAACTGTAAGAACTAGGAAGTTAAAATTAAGATGTTCCAGCTCAAGCTCAGTATGTTATAGTTTGTCAGTGGTTCCAATGGCGTCTCAGTCAGCCCACTGAAAATGAGCTTTTAGTAGCACCTGTTCATAGACATTTGCCAGAGTCTCCTCCTAACACATGACAGATAAACCTCAACTACAAAATATCCTTTTGTTCTGGATACAAAGTAGTCCTATAAATATTTTCAAAAGTTTGCTTATTTTTCCTGAAATACCTCTAAACTGGTAACACAAAGAAACAAGCAAATTCACATGGATACTACAGATAGTCATGCTTTAAAAAATGGATTGCTTATGTCTCAACACTGGTCTCCCCCGAGCGGCCTAATAATTAGATTTTAGTAGCACTTGATTGTAAACATTTGGTAGATTCTTCTGTCTTGTATGTCTCTCACACACAATTACAAGATTCTGGCTGGCTGGCTACCAACCAAGTGGTTGTCACCAGCTGTCCATTCAGCTGACGTCAACAGTCTTGCTTTTGCTTTATAAAATAATAGTGTATGCTCTAATCAACATGTCAGAAATTTGGCTTAAATTATGATGCAAAAAAATTATTATAAATTGTGTCATTTTAAAACTGTAATAATTGGGTAAATATAATTATGAAAATTATACTGCCAGCATCTAAATTGGGGGATTCTATTTCAATGTGAATGGAAGTTAGTATGGAAGCTGGATACATCCACTAGCTGCATTAGATACACACTAACATCTGACATAGCATCCCATGTATCATCGCAAGAGTTTCCAGGGACAGAAGACAGGCCTTCCAGGCCAGCTACTATTTCCTGCTTAATGCAGGGAAATATAGATCTGAAGCATCCTCAACAGATGGCTGTCGAGCCTCTGCTTCTTGTTCTCCCTTAAGGAAAGGGATCCCACACCTTCCAATAACTGGTTCTATTACGGTTCCACGATCAACTTGCTCTTGATGTTAAGCAGGGCAACTTAGTGGCGTCGGTAGTCCGCACTGCATTTTTCCATCTTTGGTGGATTGCCCGGCTGCGACCCTATCTCGACATGGGGGCGCTCACTACCTTGGTGCATGCGCTCGTAATCTCAAGATTAGATCACTGTAACGCGCTCTACGTGGGGCTGCCTTTGAGGCTGACACGGAAACTTCAGGTGGTGCAGAATGCGGCGGCCAGGCTCCTTACAGGAGTGAGATAATATCAACACATCTCTCCAACGCTGGCCGCATTGCATTGGCTGCCCATCTGTTTCCGTGTCAACTTCAAAGTTTTAATGCTTACTTATAAGGCCCTAAACGGTTTAGGACCTCGATATGTGGTGGAACGCCGCCTCCCACCAAGGTCTCCCCGGATCGCCCGCGCGAGTCAGGAGGTGAGGCTGAGGAGCCTGACGCCGAGAGAGGCCCGGAAGGAGAAGACATGAAACCGGGCCTTCTCGGCGGTGGCTCCTCGCCTCTGGAACAATCTCCCTCCAGCAATTTGCGCGGCCCCCACGCTGGGCACCTTTAAAACCCAATTAAAAACATGGCTGTTTATTCAGGCCTTCCCTCCAGCCAACTCTTAATTTTTTAATTACTTTTCCTTTTTATCTTTACTGCTGTTCTTGTTTGATTATTATGTATTTGTCCATGTTTTATTATTTGATTTTATATTTGGAAGCCGCCTAGAGTGGTCCGGTGGGCCAGATAGGCGGGGTATAAATTAAATAAATAAATAAATAAATAAGTTAATCAGTAGAAAGAGGAAAAGAAAGGTGGACTTAAGTAAATTCAAATTATTATGGGGTTCATATTCAATCAAGTTCAAATAATGGGAGGGGGGCTGCCATCATCCAAACTAGAAGTCCACCATAACTGCTTATTAGTGCAGGGGAACAGAGATGTTATGAGGCACAGTCTTGTGGGAGAGCCAAACTACACCATCCTACACTTCCTGTTCAAATGAAACAATGTGTGAATAGTTCCCTTGGTCTTCAGTCATTTGGTGAGGCCCAGCTAATATGAAATGCATACAGTTAATACCTGAACGAGACGCCATTCCACTCATTGTCTTAAAATGTTTCCATTCCTTCCTTCCATATGTCTCTAAAATCTCCTCAGGGCTCATATGTTTTGTTCCATGACTTGCCCTGTTTGACACAAATATGAGCAAAGAATTAAAAGGATACAATTTATCCAAGACTATGAATGCTTGCTTTCTTCTCCAAAAATTAAAATAAGATTGTTCTATGCAAAACTCATCAAGTTCTAATGATCACCAGATAATAGTTATATGTTTCTTCACAAACAAATCCTAATAAATTCTTTTTGTGATTCTAATGATTACTATAACTTCTATGACAGATGTGGGAAACTGGCCAACCAGATGTTGAGATGCCAGTATCAACTCGCATCATGTGCCTAAGCTAGTTAAGTCTCATTGAAAATATCAGTCAACACCATAGAAACATTACAGGTTCCTTAGCCCTGTTGTATAATTTAACACTGCCTAATTTTGTCTTCCACAAAACCTCAGTTAAATAAGATCACTTTGCTGTGAGGCCGTATCAAAGTCTTCATATTTTAAAGAGCTGAATAGAATATTACATACAAACCAGAAGCAACTGGAGATCCTCTCCCTGTCCTCCACCATACCAAATCTCCTCTTGCAGTGCCTCCCAACTCTATTTGAAATATGTGTGACAGGCCACAAAAGAAGGCTCCCAACAAATATCTAGGGTTGTCGTCTATTATCTATTGATCTTTATTCACAAATAAAGAAAGCCTGAATAAACTCTTCATCACATTTTCTAACTCCTCCTGAGAGTCCATTGAAATTAACTTTGGCTAATCTATTTGTACTTATTTCCCGACAGTATTCATCATTTACAGGATTTACTTATTGATTTCCCTTAAGGATTTGATTGATCTCATTAACTTCGATGAACTGATTTAGTATCTCTTAATAATTCAAAAATCTTGTGAATGTACTCAGAGGCTACTATTGGGATAGCTTAATATTTTAATTCAGTAGCAATTCAAGCTGTTTGGAGTTAGTAATCAGGAGTGTGAGATCAGTGTACCTGTTCTCTTTTTCATAATTATTATAATAATCAGATTACCAAATAACACATATTGGCATACCATGTCCTTCCCTAAATCAGTGCCTTTCAGATATCCTTGTGACAATTTACCACAAAACAGATTATTTGCAAATTATAGAATTACTGAATACTAAAGAAACAGAAGTGTTTATAAGAAATTGTAGTATTACCTCAAAACAGTTCCATCCTTGGCAAGTTTAAGGAAATTCCCATCTTCCATATCAAGCACCAAGCTTTTAAAGCTAAATGTACATGGTTCACCAATGGGGAAAGAGAGGCGTGGAGAGAGAAGAACGTATGTAATATATAACTTTGCATTAAACATAAAAAGAAGTGATACAAAGTATGGTTGGGACTGTAAATATAAATACACACAATAGTAGAGATAATAATCAAGGCCCTTTGGGGTGTGTGGAATGTGTACAAGGCCTGGCTTCAGGCCAGGTTTTTAAAATAGCAACAGAAGTGAGAAAATCGAACTACTGTACGATTTACGGTCAGGCCTAGACTTAAGGCAGGTACAGGGTAATGAACCAGAACTGGCAGGCAAGCACTGAAATGAATAAACAAAGGAAGGGAAGCTTCAGAACACCATTTGAAATAAAAGCCATGTGGCCATTACAAAATACAAATGCAAGAATAGGCAAATACCTTTATAGGCTGCTAATTAAAAAAATGGCACACTATGTGAGTTGAGCTTTCATGGGTAAATCCCACTTCTTCAAAGCATGTGCCAAAAGTCCAAATATTTGTGGCAAGATGGGATTTACCAGGCGGTTCTTCTTAGATGTAAAGTTCTTGGCAAGATGAATTTTCGCCAGGCACCTCTGTTGTAAATGAGGCAGGCAGTTGGTTTAAAATTACCACTGAGGCAGCTGGGGGTTGGATTTCTTACTCCAGTTCTCCAAGCAAAGGGTCACATGCTATGATTGCACACAGAGATCTCCTCTCTATCTGGCTCTTCTTCGAAACAAACATGCTTCTGCTTGGCCAGGAAAGCAAAGGTGGGGCAGGAAACTCATGTCCTCTATCTGCAAATTGCGGTATAATTTAGTAAACCCACTAGGTATAGCCAGTTAGGGTCAGATTAAAGTAAAGGGAGTACTGTATTGCCTAGTGGTCGCAGTCCTGTTCTGCTGGTGTTGAGAGTCCATGTGCCTTCTCATTGGGGAGGGTGTGGCTCTTTCTTTGTATCCTCATCGCTCCATTGAAATAAAAAGAAGTGAGCTGTGTGGCCATTACAAAATACAAATGCAAGAATAAGCAATACTGTTATAGGCCACTAATAAAAAATTCATACACTATGCGAGCTGAGCTTTCATGGGTAAATCCCACTTCTTCAAAGTATTATTCAGAACAGCCGTGATTATCTTTGTTCTTTTTATTGTTCTGTGGAGCCTGACATTTTTTGATCCTGTATTATTTCAAGGGCCTTCCTCAGGGGCTATAATGAAATATTAATACATATATATATTAATATGTAATTAAGAATATCAAACCTCATTAAAATACAATTAAATGACATAACACATTGCTTTAAAAAAATCTATGAATTTTTTTCCATAATAAAACATACAATAAAACATACATAGCATTCTAAGTTACACATAAAAAAGGAATTTTAATATTTCATTTTAGCCCTTGAGGAAGACCCTAAAAGTAATCAAGGTCTAAAATGTGTTGGGCTTGACAGGACAATAAAAAGAATAAAGATCATCACAGGCCTGCTGAGGTTTCTCCCTCAGGTTAAACAGAGAAAATCTAGCCTTCCAGATGCTTTGAACCATAGTCAAATCATCAGGAGGGGCGGTTGTTCTCCACCCTGATCTAGATAATAAATCCAAGAGGTATGAAATATTGGAAACTTAAAATAGTCCAAAATGCTGTAGCAAGATTGCTGACTGAGGCCCATTACTGGGAGCATGTTCCTCCCTTGATATGACATCTTCACAAGTGACCATTCTGTTTCTGGACACCATTCAAAGTATCCTATAAAGGTCTATCTCAAGGCCTGTATTCTTCCCTAGGAGCTTGCCTGACTTTGTGCTATCTAGAAGAGATCCTTCTCTCATTTGTACTACCATCAGAAACTTATTCACTGGGATTTCTCAATAGCTACTCACAAATTTTGGAACTTCTCATGAAGGGAGACCTTTTTATTCATGCAAGAATTTGGCAACTGATAGCTTGGAAGGAAAAAAAAACTTTTTACCAAGCAAGTGCTACATTGTTTTTACATTGTACATTTTAAAATTTTTCATTGTATTCTAATATTCTCAGTTTATATTTTTAAATCAGACTTAGCTGCCTTAAGTCCCATTTTAGGAGCCAAGGCAAGATGTAAATTCAATAAATAAATGGATAGGATAAAAATGGGACAGCAGTGTGCACAGAGAGCCCAATAGAGAAAAGCAAAATTTAAATAATATGCAATAAATAGCACCCTAAGTAACTTTGAAAGATATGTATGTTCTTTTCCCATACACAATTAACAAACTGGCAAGAACTCAGTTCTATTTTTAAACAAAATCACTTACCAGAAATCCCAACTTTCAGGTGCTACATTCAGCAGTTCCTCATCATAACCTTTTTCTTTTACCATGTACTGAGCAAAGCTTTCATATATGAGCTGCAAATTAAAAGAAAATAACGAAGTAACACTACTTGAAACTGAACATACTGAGCCATTCCAACACTTTGCCATTTCACACGTTAGGATTCAACCTAGGAGTAGTGAAGAATATTCTGTGTACAGAAGCGACAATTTAGATTTAATACCTGAAAGTCAGATTCTCTAGCAAACGGTGACATTTTCAACATGAAAAGTGAAACTTAGAGAAATGCCACCTTCCAAGCCCCAAAGATTTCTGCTTCTAATATTGGCTCAAATCAGTTAGGTTTTTTGACATGAATATTACACTCTTCTTTATGTTCTAAGGAATGTGAAGTGGAGGAGGACTGAGATTGTGCCTCTCACCACATACTGCCCTCAGTCACCATGCATTTGCAGTAAGGTGTACAAGCAATGTATCCTGTTGGTCCTATCTCAAAGATGCTGAAGATACATATTTTCAATAAATACTGCTTAACAAGAATTGTGAAGTCTCTTACACTATTTCACATTGACATGTCCTTTTTGTTTAGGTGGTTAGTTGTTTGAATGCAACCTCACATAGTGGCACAACACAGTTTGAAACACCTCTACATAGAGGAACTTAAATAAAT